AAAATTGCTTACGGCAGTCATTTTTTCAGGCGCTCCCTTTCTCTCTCTCCTCTCCTGATCGATCTATTTTTCTCTTTCTTTCTTCACTCTCTTCTCATTATCTTCTCCTCCACCTTCTTCTCCCTTTCCTTCATTAATGATCATCGAAAAAAAATAAAATAATTACGCTTAAAGCTGGCACGTCGATGTTCAGTTATAATGAGACGGCTACGAATAGCTCAGTTGGCTAGAGCGGAGGACTGTAGATGTGTTATCCACCACTGTGGCTATCCTTAGGTCATCGGTTCAATTCCGATTTCGTAGATATGTCAAATTCTTTTTATTCTTAAGCAAAAATTTAGAAAATCACAAAAACAGTACCAAATCAGCTTATTTGTTAACCTTAAAAATTGTTATTTTATAAAATACTTATCTTTTGTCAAACATGTGTACATTTGTTTTTAGCAGTTTTAAACTATTTTTTTTATTATCATTAATAATTTAAAATTTTGTTGATTGTTTGTTCTTTTCTCAGTTTATCATCACGACGACGACGTCAGACCACCACTTTATAAGATTGCTAGTGATTGCATAGATTTGCTCCAACAGAAAACCTTACAAATATTTTGATTTACAAAATCACTAATTCTGGTCAACAATAAGTGATATGAGAGAACAAGCTGATTACCTTGGTAAATCGCACAGAAAAAAATGTGGTCATTGTCAAACAAGTGCAAATCTTTTTGGCGGTACCAATGGCTCAAGAGCCAGATTTCAGTCGTCTGTGGTACGCCTCGTTTTTACTGGTAGAAGGACCATTTGATAAGATGGTGCAAATCATTTGCTAATGCTAACTACGACCTGTTTTAGAGTTATCAACGATGATTAGCTTTGGTTTGCTTTTCTGTTTAATTTAATTAGTCTGCATCCTGAATGCGGGAAGCAGCACTGTTAAGCTTTTAAATAGCTTTAAATAAAAACTACTACTACTCATTTCATTTTCATCAAACCTTACCTAAAATGAAAGCAAACACCAAAGAAATAAGTGCCAAGATTTTGGGCCCGCTAGTGACCGGCTCAGCAGATCGACAACGCTCAATTCACCGAGCCATCGTCCTCCTGGTCACCTTTACCATTTACGCCACCTATCGAATGTCCCGGCGGCCACTGTCTATCGCCAAGTCGGTGCTCCACGCAGAAAATTGCACACTTCAACATTTAAACAACAACAAGTCAGCAGGACNTTCAACGGCACCGAAGCCCAGTGTGGCTGGGCCCCTTTTAATGGCCACCACGGAAAGGAGGTCCTAGGCCTGCTGGACAGCTCCTTTCTCTTTCTCTACGCCTTCTCGATGTTCGCCGCCGGATATGTGGCCGAGAGGGTGAACATCCGGTACTTTCTCTTCCTCTCCCTCACCTCCTGTGGTCTGCTCAGCGTTCTTCTTGGCCTGGCGAAGGAGTTTGAGGTGCACTCCCTCTGGTACTTTATGATGCTGCAAATTTTAATGGGCCTCAGTCAGACGGGCCTGCCCGCGGTCATCAGCGTAGTGGGAAACTGGTACGGAAGCAGCAAAAAGGGACTCATCTTTGGCTTCTGGAATTGGCACACTAGCGTGGGAAATATCGTTGGAGCGGCTATTGCGGGGGCTTTTGTGGAGACCGACTGGAGTCTGTCCTTTATTGTGCCCGGGGTGGTTTGTATACTGGTTGCGGGGATGGTCTTTCTGCTTTTGATTCCCAGTAAGTTTTTTTGTTGGTGATGATTATGATAAGTTTTTCTTATTTTATGAGACCTTTTTTCTCTTTTTTTATGTAAACAGAACCATCTGATGTCGGCTTGGCGGTAGAGCTGTCCTCTTCTAATTCTGCTGAAAAATTGGCTGCAGAAAGCGCTCAACGAGATATTGAAAAGCAGCATCAAGTTGTTGAGATAAAAACAGCAAAAGAATCTCTGCCAAACAATAAAAACAGCCAAAAATCTAAAACTGAAGCCATTTCCATTCTATCGGCGCTCAGCATTCCCGGCGTGATTGAATTCAGCGCCTGTCTCTTCTTTACCAAACTAGTCTCCTACACCTTTCTCTACTGGCTTCCGCTGTACCTCAAGGAAACGAGCAACTTCTCTTCGGCAAACTCCGCCTACGCGTCTATAATGTTTGACGTCGGTGGGTGTTTAGGTTCAGTTGGGGCTGGCCTGCTGGCCGACCGGACCGGATGCAGTGCACTGACCTGTATTCTCTTTCTCATCTGCTCGGTTCCTTCGGTAAATAGCAAGTGCATTCTTTTGCCTACTTTAACTTTAATTTTTTCATGTCCTCTAGATGTACAGCTACTACCTTTTCTCCTCCGCCTCGATTTACCTCAATCAAGGCCTGCAGTTCATCACCGGCGCCTTCATCAACGGCCCCTTCTCGCTGATAATGGCCTCCGTCTCGGCAAACCT